GTCCTAAATCTTAATACCACTGTTGTTTATTTGATACACGTATTATAGCAGTGAGGGCAGCGGTAATATCAGATCCTATTTACGCCGGGGTGAAAGGGTAGTTCGTCCAAAAGTTGTCGTCGTATTTAAACCTTACGTGGGTTAGGGAGCTCAATTTGGCCTGGAGGGTGAATTCGACCAGAGTTCACTCCGTGTTGGAGTGGAAGTGGCGAGGGTCTAGTTTCGGAAAGGCTCTTGGAGTGGCCTTTTATTGTGGCCAGCCTAAGGCCTTTTATTGTGGCCAGCCTAAGGCCTTTTATTGTGGCCAGCCTAAGGCACACCTGTACAATACCCATGCTGTCTGATCAGCATCTTGATATGCCACACCTGTGAGGTTGATGGATTATCTCGGCTAAGGAGAGGCGCTCACTAACACAGATTTTGACAGATTTGTGAACAATATTTGAGAGAAATAGGTATTTTGTGTACATAGAGAAAGTCTTAGATCTTTGAGTTCATTTAGAAAGTGTAAGGAAATGATTAATAAACTATTTAGATGTACATTTATATATGCATTTATGCATATGATTTAGTCATGTACTAATAGTGAGTGTGCAAATAAATATGTACAAACATTTATTAATATTTTAATTAATGTTTAGAGAAGGTTTTGCATTCTATGTTCAATTGTTACCGACTGCAGCCTCATTTTAGCACATGGTTTGGTGCAATTTAGTTTGAAACAGAAAGAAATTATTGTGTGTGCAGAGTTGTTACTGTTACTTAGCACTGATATTTAATTTGGTCTGCACACTGTAAAGTGTCTATGAAGGCAGAGGAGATAAAGCTCTCCTCTCTACCAGTAGATGGCAGCATGAGTGCTTTTAAATGTATCTCTGGTTTGTGTCTGTTAATTCATTTAAATCCAGGTTATTGATAAAGATTTATTTTTGATGGGTTATTTCCAACCCAGTTATATACAGCGTGTATTTACTCTGTATTTTTATATAATTTCACAACCAAACATAGTTATATGAAAAATTTGCATCTGGGTAGGTTTACACATACAAGGAATTAGCTTTGGTATTTTGGTGCATAACAATAAAGAAGGTAAGAAAGTAAACTGCTGCAGATCAAGAATCAAACATATATATATAAAAATATATAAAAGAATAATAAATGATCAAGAATATGTACTTGTTATGTACACAGACATTTGATCATGTGGCAGTAAATAACCTCCCCGTCATGGCACCACCTGTGTTACACTGCACCTTCATCACTGTATCATCATCTTCATCATTCACCCTCAGCTCAGAATCAAACCTGCATGCACTTCTGTTCTGACCTTTAGCAGCTCTGACCACAAACTCACATCAGGAATGTCATAATGTAGGCTATTTGGCGTAAAGAAGCATTTATATGGGGGTATTTATGTTTCAGTATTATTTGTGTGAACAGATGAGCGATCTGTGTGTAAATGTGTAATCTGTAAATATAAAACACTTTGCAAAAACACAAAATGAAGATTTGTAAACTAGAAAACAGATCTGCAAATACATAAATAAATTCCTCAAATAATAAAATTATCTGTGATTATATTTAATAGTTTACAAATAAATGAACCACGTTTGTGAATATCTTCCTAACAGTTACAGCTTTCAAATATGCATTTGTGAATCCAGTTTTAATTTACAAATTGTTGAAAAGTATTTGTCACTTTCAAACAGGCATTTGTGAGTCCCGCCTGTATTTGTCGATCTTCACACACGGAGTTTTGAAACAAACTTTCCGCCGATGGAAAGAAAATCCACTCGTGTCATTCGGCTGTTTTCGAAGACCACGTGATGATGCCTGCTGACGCCTGCTGATGACGCCATTTCCACATTTCAAAGTAAAACGGCCTCCGAACTGCCTGAATGTGCCAACTTGTTGCTATCGCGAAGGAAATATCAGCTACTCTTTCAACAAAATGTGAATGCAGACTGAAATGCAACCGTGTTGTTGTGTCGAGGGAGGCAGCGATTCAAACCAGTGAGTAAGAAATAGTATAATTATATAATATAATGTATAAAGCTATGAGCAAAGGGGAAAGTCCGCTAGCCGCTGGGCTAATTTCAGCAGTTTGAAAATGCCATAGGCTCTAGCTAATGATGGTGTTAGGCAAAAATCAAACCAAGACTACGAGCCGAATATTTGTTAAAAGTTAGTGTGGGCTGTGTTTGATGTGTTTTAGTGGACTGTACTGAATTTACATTTAACCATATACTTTTTTTCCTAGTATGGCCAAAAGCCGAGTGGCCATCATGGTAGTTCCTGTCCTGTGGTCAACACCAGCATCAAGGAGTGGACAAAAAGAAGAACAACAAAGGAATTAAGAATTCATCACAGTTTAATGCAAACAATAGACCTATAATGAAATCCTTATATAATCCACCCCAGGTCTTCTTGTTTCTGTTGAAATACTGAGGAAGAATGTGTGTAACGTTGTTACTGCGTAATTAGAGTATAGGAGAACAGTGGACACTTACTAGGTTCCTCTGTACCTCATTTAACATGAGCGCTTTCCTACTTCCAAAGTTATTTTTGCCTAATTAAACCATCACTAATAAAATTTAGAAAATAGTTCATAGTTTTATTTATACTGTAGGTCTAGGTTATTTTGACATTCAGCCCCAAAACCGTGCTCAAAATGAAAATAACCTATAGAAAATATAACTTTTTATTCTTTTTTCAATTCTTTCTAGCAGCAGTGTTTCCCACATAAGGCTTTACTTGGGAGAGCCCGCTCAGGCATATTAACGGCCAAAGTATATTTGGGTGAGTGTGCAGGGAGAAGAGAACTGAAGGGGAAAGCAAGATGAGCAGAGTAAACACTAAAACACCGAGGTGGTGAATGAAGTTAAAATGAAAATTGTTGAAGCCGGACTTTGTACAACACTCGGATGCCATTAGTAAATTGTGCGAGTCGATCATTGTCGTGATCACTCTCCAACTGGGTATCTTTGTCCTTAGACGAATCTTGTGGCACCAACTTCCAAGTAACTACCAAGACAAATCCCTCTGCCTCGGCTCAGCAAGGAAACACTCTGTTGAAACACTAAAAGGGAATTTTGCACACAAAAACTAAACTTTGAAAGATCCTCGCTTAATTTGTGCTTTGTTGGAGACTATTTTCAGCGGCGGATGAATCCACATGTGGACTGTAGTGAGTATTTGGGGCAGCAGGACGGAGGATGTGGGACTGGGACTCAGAATAAACTACAGTGTGTGTTCATAGTGATGAAGGAACATGTCAGTGCTCTCAATGATGAGTTTTTAATAGTTTCTGGACAACAATGAAGAAAGAAGAGACATCAGACTGTGAGACACAGTACAAGACTATAATTTAAAACTATTGTGCTTTTTACAGGATTTATTCCCAGGCTAATTCATAGAATAGAAAAGTATTAGTTATCAGGTGTGAAAAGATTATTTATTTGAACTGTTTGGGATGGTCGCCACCAAGCCTGTTTCTGCTCTGTTTTAATTAGTGCTGTGTCATTTATGTGTAGATTGACTTGGAAAAGTATTTCTATTATTTGATTCTGGTAATTGTAGGATCCAGGGCAGAAGAGTGAGAAATGTCTACTATACTATATTTATTCCTATACTTATACTTTATAAAAGATATTCACTATATTGACAAACGTACTGGGACGTTGTTAAAGGAAATCTTGATGTTACAGAAAACAATTATAGACAGTAGTTCTTCCAACAGTTTGTATTTGGCCTTTTCCTGTTTCAATATGACAGCGCCCCGTCCACAAAAGCCAGCTTTATAAACAGTATCTCACAAAAGTGAGTCCACCCATCACATTTTTGTAAATATTTCATATATCTATTCATGTGACAGCACTGAAGAAATGACACTTTGCTACAGTGTAAAGTAGTGAGTGTGCAGCTTGTACACACAACTGTTTAAATTTGCACTTTGGTGTAAACCGAGGCCACTTGTCTGTTCCCCACCAGCCAGTAACGGGCCAGGTAAACAGTTCACAGTACAGTTCACGCCCTGCTTTTTACCACAGGTAGTTGGTAAAAGAAATTTTCATAGTTTGGTTAGAGGCCTTGCTCAATTAGCCAAAAGACATCCGTGCATGACATTGCTAATGTTGCATGGCACCAGCAACCTGCTGGTAACTACTTAATTATGCTTAGGCCTATGTTAATTATAAATTAATTATGCTAATGCCTTTGATGGGCCATTAGAATTACCACCTGTTGGAATATAAACTTCATATGCAGTCCAGTACGGCCATAGTCTTATCTGCTCCGCCACACTTTCATAATGAAGCAAAAACATTCTCTTTTTACTTTTACTTGAGTAGATTTTTATACTAGTATTTATAAATACAGCCACGCTTCATACCCTGGGATCCTGAACGAGCCAGAGAAACACCCCTCCTAGATATAGTGCTGAACAGTGCCACCCCATAATGAGAACACCAGAGACTCATTGAACCCAGATCTGTTCTATTAAAACTAAAAACAGGGCACACTCGTATCTGTTCCATGTCCTTTTGTTTTTTTCCTATTTACCACATCTGCTCTCTAACAGCTTCATAAGGTGATGATGTCTTTGCCTTTTAGTCATTTCAGGCTCTTGCTTACTGGCAAAGAAATAGTTTTGAGGGAAATGTCATCATGCTCTATATTTAAACAACAGGAATCATCAGACCACAAAAAGACAAATGTGAGAATGTGGGGTTTACACATCCTTTGCTCAGCTCACAATAAAACAGTTTGTCTGTTCAGGCTTTGTTGTGTGCTGTAATGTCAGCGCAGGTACGATCTTCTAAAGGATACTACTAAACACATAATACTTTCCAACACCAACACCGTATTTGTTGTTAGTAAAAGATGTATGAACTCATGATCACACTGAAGGAAACACTGACGTGTGTTGAACATGTGTTTCTCTTGTTTAAGGAACTCCGTTACAACACAGTTCCTGTTCTAAGCATGGATAAGCTGAGGTCACATTATTCTGTGTACAGTGTTTCAGCCTGCGTGAAGATGAGGGCGACTATCTGCTGCTGCCTGTTGGCCTTTGTTCTGAGCTTTAATGTCACCGCAGGTAAGAACTTTTTAATTAATCAGTTAAACTTGCTCACTTTAAAATACATTTATTATTGGAAGTGAAATGTAACTAAGTACATTTACTCTGAAATTATGCACCCAACTATAAATTTGAGGAAACCTTTTACACGGAGTTTGTAAACTATGATGTTTTGTTGTAAATTAAACTACCCAACAGTTTATATTGGTAACTGAAGGCAGAATCCTCACAAACCAAACAATCAGTTATTGGTGAAAATAATCAGCATATAATGAGCTTATCAATAAACTCAGCAGGATTGAACTGACCTTTATTTATTGCATTAATAATAATTCATGAAGAATGTGCGGTCTGTACTATGTTGTGAGGTCTTGAAGCTTGTCTCAGATGTGTTTGGTATCGCTGACTCATAATGTAAAAACACCAATTGATAAGGTCGTATTTGATGTGCAATCGCTGCATTTGACAGTTAAATGTGAACTTTTTTTTTAACTTGTTTCTTTTGCAGGAATAAATCATGTAGTAGTCGAGGAGAAGAGCTTTGTCTTTCTGCCATGTCCTCACCCTGCGGAGGGTAAAGTGACGTGGAGCAGAGAGAGAAACGGAAACAGAGTTGACATATTTATAATTGATGGTGACGGAGAAATAAGACACAATGATCCCGACAGACGATACAATTCAGTGGGAGATAAATTTATGTCACTTGTCATTAGCAGAGTTAATCTCTCGGACACTGGAAGATACCTGTGTAATAATGAACCAGCTGTGGAGCTGATGGTGATCAAACCAGGTAACATCAAACTTTAAGAAAGTTGTTCTGCTTCCTGTTTTCTTCCTGTTGCATGTACAGTACATTTTGTTAAGTAATGGGCTGTATATTACTAACATATATAAATTAGATGTAAATGTGTTTTTACCTTCAATAACACAACTATTGTAGAATTTATAATATTATGTTTTACTTTCGTCCTCCATAACATTTACTTTTGTGGTGTACATTTATGTTGGGGAAATTGAACTATTGTCTTTATTGAAGTAAAATTTGCTTTTGCGCTTCACTACATTTGAACATGCTGGACAGTGGCAACTGTATGATCATTCAGTGGAGAAGAGAACTTAGTATTTCCCAATTTTTCCAATTAGAGTAATGAGAAATGTCCACTTGTGTTAGTTTCCTGTATTATTGTGAAAATTTCTGCCTCTCGTGTTTTAGTCTATTTTATTTTCTGTCTGTCTAACTGCTGATGCCTAATGTGTCTCACCTGTGTTTAACCAGCCTGTGTGTATAAATATATATAGTCTGTGCAAGCAAAGTCATGGCCAGGCGTTGAAGAAGTATTCAGATCCTTTACTTAAGTTAAAGTAGTTATACCACACTGAAAATACTCCTGTATAAGTCCTGTATTCAAAACCTTAAGTTAAAAGTACAATTTCAGCGTCTGAGATGTAGAGGAATAGAAGTATAAAGCTGATGAAAATGGAAATACCAAAAGAAAGTACAAGTACCTCAAAACTGTCCTTAAGTACAGCACGTAAATGCACTTAGACCATGTTATTCCTCCACCTTTGGGGCAAAAACAGGTCAGTTTCTCAAAGAAAATCCATGTATTTAATGACATAAAACATATTTTTTACTTTGTGTTTGGTCATGCAGGAGAAACAGCCAGACTCACTGTTGTAGAAAGAACCAACATCACTCTGAATTGTCCCTCTGCTGTTTCTGGGTCAAGAGATCCAACATGGACCAGAGAAAACCGTGGAACAAACATCACTGTTTCCAGTCAAAATGAGATGGATAAGCACGCTCGATATTCAACCACGGAAGAGACGCTGACTATAACAGACGTGCAGCCTGATGACGCTGGACTGTACTACTGTGATGAAAACCAGTTGTGCATCTGAATGTGACCAAAGATGAGCAGTCTGAGAAAGGTGAGAGACAAGAAGTCTTAGAGGATCCAGTATTTCCCAAAAGTGAGTACACCCCTCACATCTGCGTAAATATTTTCATGTGACAACACTGAAGAAATGAAACATGCTACAATGTAAAGTAGTGAGTGTGCAGCTTGAATAACGTATATAAATTTGCTGTCCCCTCAAAATAACACATCACACAGCCATTAATGTCTAAACCGCTGGCAACAAATGACCAGTTAATTGAAATGGGAGAGAGAGCGAGCGTGAGGCTGGACAGAACTGATGTTACTCTACAGGTCTGTGATCAGTGAAGTGTACAAACTGGAGGCTCTGTTAACAGCAACTGGCAACCTCCGGGTCTGACAAGTGAAGCCAATGTAAAAGTCCCTTAAACCTGCGTCCTCTCCAGCAGCCAGCAGGGGGCGACTCCACCGGCTGCAGAAAGAAGTGTGATTGTATAGAAGTCTCTGAGAAAATGTTTCTACTTCTCAGCTGATTTATTCCCTCAGTAAACACTTTCCTGATGAGTTCATGGTCTCAGTCTCTAGTTTCAGGTCTTCTTCAACACAGCATGATGTTCATTTAGTAAATTATGGTCCCGTTAAGAGGAACAGAGACCAGGAAGCAGAGTATATTTCAGGGAGGGGCTACAAGGTGATTAACTTGCTACCAAGGCCAGCTGTTAATCAGGATAGAGGCAGATTGTGTCCACTGCAGTGGACTTCTTTTAACTAGTGGGGAACTTGGGTGTTGTATGTGTTTTTGTCTAAGAACATTTTTTCTGCTAAGTAATGCATTTTTTGTTTTAAGCCTGTTAAACCAGCATCCTAGTTAATATCCCATTTACAGATGCACCTTACTAACCAGTCTGGCTCCAGGAAACGATAGACCACAAACCATGATGTCACGGTGGCCATGTCCACTTCTTTTTATACAGTTAATGTTTAACAGTGATAGACAAACAGATGCACGTTATAATATATAATATGAAGCGTCTGTATTGCTGTGGCTGCTTTGACATTCGTGTTTTAAGTTTGCTTTGGTGTAAAACTGTCTCAAATTATTTTGTTGACTTTCCAAAAAGAAATAATATATACACACACACACACACACACAGCGTGTGAAATAAGTATTGAACACGTCACCATTTTTCTCAGTAAATATATTTCCAAAGGAGCTATTGACATGAATTTTTCACCAGATGTTGGTAGGAACCCAAGTAATCCATACATACAAAGAAACCAAAACAAAGAAGTTCAGAAATAAAGTTATATGTAATAATGTGCAAATTTATGGTGAAATGATTGTCTTTGCACTTCCGTATTATGGCCCCAACAGCGCTCACTGGAACATTCAGAAGCTTAGAAATGCGCCTATAACCAATGCCATCATTGTGTTTTGCAACAATTAGGTTGCAAAGGTCTTGAAACAGCTCTTTGCATTTACCCATCATGGGATGTGTCTTGTGTGACACTTTGGCAACGAGACCTTTTTGTAGGCCATCAGTTGGGACTGAACCAGCTGATATTAATTTGTACTGACAAGGGTCTAGATTGCTTTTTAACTGCCTTTTTGCACCTCCCTTTCTTCATGTGTTCAATACTTTTTCCCTGTGACATTATTACACATAACTTTATTTCTGAACTTCTTTGTTTTGGTTTCTTTGTATGTATGGATTAATTGGGTTGTTACCAACATCTGGTGAAAATTTTATGTGAATAGCTCCTTTGGAAATATATTTACTGAGAAATAGTGACGTGTTCAATGCTTATTTCACCCACTGTTTATATGTATATAGGTGTGGAAAAATGCTGTAAAGTAGGAATGCTTTCAAAAATCTTAATAGATTATATTTATCAATTACTAAAATACAATGTAAGTGAACGGAAAGAAAATCTAAATCAAATAGTAACCACCCTTTGCCTTCAAAATGAATTCTTCTACGTACACTTGCACAAAGTCAAGGATTTTGTAGGTATGTTGTCAGGTGTATCAATAAATGTACCAAATTCAGTAGGCTATGTAGGTTGAAACACAATCATTAACTGAAACAGAAACAGCTGTGTAGGAGGAATAAAACTGGGTGAGGAACAGCTGAGCTCAGCTGGTGAAGCTGCTGAAGACATTTTACTGTCAAACGCCTTATCTGCCTGTTCTGTCTGCGTTTGGGTCCAGTCCCTGTTTTTCTGCATAACCCACCGTGACACTTACGGTACAATAAGTTATCTTCTGTTTAGACCCTGAACACACCTCTCTGTCTCTCAGCCGTCTTACCCACCTTTCCTCTCTGTCTCTCAGCCTTCTTACCCACCTTTCCTCTCTGTCTCTCAGCCTTCTTACCCACCTTTCCTCTCTGTCTCTCAGCCTTCTTACCCACCTTTCCTCTCTGTCTCTCAGCCGTCTTACCCACCTTTCCTCTCTGTCTCTCCCCCAGTTTACTTTGTGCCTCTGGTTGTTTGTGTGGTTCTGATTGTCCTGCTGTTGGCTGGTTTTCTGCTGCTGCTCTTCAAATGGATGAAAAACAGAAACCTCAGATCTTCAAAAAGCAGAAATGTGGAGGTAACTCTTTTTTACTCTTGCTGTCTCTGACTGTTAACCTCGATGTCTATGATGTCTCCTAATATACTGTAGATGCTCAGGAAAATAAAATGACATGTTAGATAAATGCTGCATAAATAAATTTGTGACCACTAGAGGGCAGAAACAGAATGAGAACTGGAAACAGTGCCGCCATTAGAACAGGGATCTTTAACTATGTTAAATATGTGCTATTTTCAGTTATCTGTCGCCTCCAAGAACAGGACTCCAGTCTCCACTGGTGAAGACTCCACTTACCAGAGCCTCGATCCTGCCAGCAGGGACCAGGACCAGATCTACTCCTCACTCACTTAACCTTACATAACTCCCAGAAAACCACAAATAGTTGAATCCTCACACAAACACAAAGTGAGCTTTAAAGGGCTTGATAGGTTTTTATGCTAAGCTACCTGTTGAACACCGACACCCCCGGTACCGGGTGCAGCACGCGATCGTCAAAACTGCTGACTTTTACGATTTTTGCCGTTATTTTTAAAAATATCTCCGGGCGCCAACTTGATTATTGTGCAATACCCGGGAGCTGTGCCTGCCTTCTCTCGCCTTTTTCTACAGAACAGGAAAAGTGCCGCTTTAAAACACACGGTCTTTTTGCGGCCTGGTAGCCGACTTGTAGGAGCTACATAGATGTTTTGTTATTTGGAACTTGATTGTATGGACAGAAATAGTGTTTTAAAGATAACTCCCAATAAAAGTCAACATCTAAACAGTAAATGTTGCCAAAATATAGACATTCACCTGGTATATTTTGAATATATTGTATGATAACTGTTGTATTTTAGTTTATTTTCATAAAATTTACAGTTACAATTGCATTCTAGGTGTATCAGAAGATATTCTGTTGCATTATAATCTATCTTATGATGGTTTTGATGGTTTATTGCATAAAAAATATAGCTTTTTTACCAGGTCAGGATGAAAATATCATTTTCTTTATTGCATTGATCCATTTAGTCTGTAATGGTAAAATAAATATGTTATTTTACAATGGATTTATATTCCTTAGCCTCTGACCTTTCAAAGGAGAATTATGCATATTGGCCAAAAGGTTGAGGAGTTATTCCTGATTCATTTTGGGTTTGTTATTTTATGCGTTTTTTTTCTGGAAATAGGGGCAAATACCTGTAAGTTTCCAGCAGTTTAGTCTAACCATGCCCTGACTCCAGTTTCGTACTTTCGCTTTTCTTTACAATGAATATCAATCTTTTCATAAAAGAATATAATCCAACAAAGGTTAAAGTCAAGGGCAACTGGACTTGGTTGAAGATACTGGAAGACGTTTCGTCCATAATCCAAGGGACTTAAGAAGAAGTCCCTTGGATAACTATGACCTGGATGACTGAGAATCTTCACAGACAAAAGAATATAATATTTATTTTTCGTAAATATATAAAGTCATGTTCCTAAAGAAATATTCGACACAAACACAAAATGAATGACAAATGCTTTCAGTTTCGTTATTAAAAAAACAAACTTTTCCTTCACATCAGTCCTAAATCTTAATACCACTGTTGTTTATTTGATACACGTATTATAGCAGTGAGTGCAGCGGTAATATCAGATCCTATTTACGCCGGGGTGAAAGGGTAGTTCGTCCAAAATTTGTCGTCGTATTTAAACCTTACGTGGGTTAGGGAGCTCAATTTGGCCTGGAGGGTGAATTCGACCAGAGTTCACTCCGTGTTGGAGTGGAAGTGGCGAGGGTCTAGTTTCGGAAAGGCTCTTGGAGTGGCCTTTTATTGTGGCCAGCCTAAGGCCTTTTATTGTGGCCAGCCTAAGGCCTTTTATTGTGGCCAGCCTAAGGCACACCTGTACAATACCCATGCTGTCTGATCAGCATCTTGATATGCCACACCTGTGAGGTTGATGGATTATCTCGGCTAAGGAGAGGCGCTCACTAACACAGATTTTGACAGATTTGTGAACAATATTTGAGAGAAATAGGTATTTTGTGTACATAGAGAAAGTCTTAGATCTTTGAGTTCATTTAGAAAGTGTAAGGAAATGATTAATAAACTATTTAGATGTACATTTATATATGCATTTATGCATATGATTTAGTCATGTACTAATAGTGAGTGTGCAAATAAATATGTACAAACATTTATTAATATTTTAATTAATGTTTAGAGAAGGTTTTGCATTCTATGTTCAATTGTTACCGACTGCAGCCTCATTTTAGCACATGGTTTGGTGCAATTTAGTTTGAAACAGAAAGAAATTATTGTGTGTGCAGAGTTGTTACTGTTACTTAGCACTGATATTTAATTTGGTCTGCACACTGTAAAGTGTCTATGAAGGCAGAGGAGATAAAGCTCTCCTCTCTACCAGTAGATGGCAGCATGAGTGCTTTTAAATGTATCTCTGGTTTGTGTCTGTTAATTCATTTAAATCCAGGTTATTGATAAAGATTTATTTTTGATGGGTTATTTCCAACCCAGTTATATACAGCGTGTATTTACTCTGTATTTTTATATAATTTCACAACCAAACATAGTTATATGAAAAATTTGCATCTGGGTAGGTTTACACATACAAGGAATTAGCTTTGGTATTTTGGTGCATAACAATAAAGAAGGTAAGAAAGTAAACTGCTGCAGATCAAGAATCAAACATATATATATAAAAATATATAAAAGAATAATAAATGATCAAGAATATGTACTTGTTATGTACACAGACATTTGATCATGTGGCAGTAAATAACCTCCCCGTCATGGCACCACCTGTGTTACACTGCACCTTCATCACTGTATCATCATCTTCATCATTCACCCTCAGCTCAGAATCAAACCTGCATGCACTTCTGTTCTGACCTTTAGCAGCTCTGACCACAAACTCACATCAGGAATGTCATAATGTAGGCTATTTGGCGTAAAGAAGCATTTATATGGGGGTATTTATGTTTCAGTATTATTTGTGTGAACAGATGAGCGATCTGTGTGTAAATGTGTAATCTGTAAATATAAAACACTTTGCAAAAACACAAAATGAAGATTTGTAAACTAGAAAACAGATCTGCAAATACATAAATAAATTCCTCAAATAATAAAATTATCTGTGATTATATTTAATAGTTTACAAATAAATGAACCACGTTTGTGAATATCTTCCTAACAGTTACAGCTTTCAAATATGCATTTGTGAATCCAGTTTTAATTTACAAATTGTTGAAAAGTATTTGTCACTTTCAAACAGGCATTTGTGAGTCCCGCCTGTATTTGTCGATCTTCACACACGGAGTTTTGAAACAAACTTTCCGCCGATGGAAAGAAAATCCACTCGTGTCATTCGGCTGTTTTCGAAGACCACGTGATGATGCCTGCTGACGCCTGCTGATGACGTCATTTCCACATTTCAAAGTAAAACGGCCTCCGAACTGCCTGAATGTGCCAACTTGTTGCTATCGCGAAGGAAATATCAGCTACTCTTTCAACAAAATGTGAATGCAGACTGAAATGCAACCGTGTTGTTGTGTCGAGGGAGGCAGCGATTCAAACCAGTGAGTAAGAAATAGTATAATTATATAATATAATAATGTATAAAGCTATGAGCAAAGGGGAAAGTCCGCTAGCCGCTGGGCTAATTTCAGCAGTTTGAAAATGCCATAGGCTCTAGCTAATGATGGTGTTAGGCAAAAATCAAACCAAGACTACGAGCCGAATATTTGTTAAAAGTTAGTGTGGGCTGTGTTTGATGTGTTTTAGTGGACTGTACTGAATTTACATTTAACCATATACTTTTTTTCCTAGTATGGCCAAAAGCCGAGTGGCCATCGATGGTAGTTCCTGTCCTGTGGTCAACACCAGCATCAAGGAGTGGACAAAAAGAAGAACAACAAAGGAATTAAGAATTCATCACAGTTTAATGCAAACAATAGACCTATAATGAAATCCTTATATAATCCACCCCAGGTCTTCTTGTTTCTGTTGAAATACTGAGGAAGAATGTGTGTAACGTTGTTACTGCGTAATTAGAGTATAGGAGAACAGTGGACACTTACTAGGTTCCTCTGTACCTCATTTAACATGAGCGCTTTCCTACTTCCAAAGTTATTTTTGCCTAATTAAACCATCACTAATAAAATTTAGAAAATAGTTCATAGTTTTATTTATACTGTAGGTCTAGGTTATTTTGACATTCAGCCCCAAAACCGTGCTCAAAATGAAAATAACCTATAGAAAATATAACTTTTTATTCTTTTTTCAATTCTTTCTAGCAGCAGTGTTTCCCACATATAGGCTTTACTTGGGAGAGCCCGCTCAGGCATATTAACGGCCAAAGTATATTTGGGTGAGTGTGCTGGGAGAAGAGAACTGAAGGGGAAAGCAAGATGAGCAGAGTAAACACTAAAACACCGAGGTGGTGAATGAAGTAGAGTTAAAATGAAAATTGTTGAAGCCGGACTTTGTACAACACTCGGATGCCATTAGTAAATTGTGCGAGTCGATCATTGTCGTGATCACTCTCCAACTGGGTATCTTTGTCCTTAGACGAATCTTGTGGCACCAACTTCCAAGTAACTACCAAGACAAATCCCTCTGCCTCGGCTCAGCAAGGAAACACTCTGTTGAAACACTAAAAGGGAATTTTGCACACAAAAACTAAACTTTGAAAGATCCTCGCTTAATTTGTGCTTTGTTGGAGACTATTTTCAGCGGCGGATGAATCCACATGTGGACTGTAGTGAGTATTTGGGGCAGCAGGATGGAGGATGTGGGACTGGGACTCAGAATAAACTACAGTGTGTGTTCATAGTGATGAAGGAACATGTCAGTGCTCTCAATGATGAGTTTTTAATAGTTTCTGGACAACAATGAAGAAAGAAGAGACATCAGACTGTGAGACACAAACAGTACAAGACTATAATTTAAAACTATTGTGCTTTTTACAGGATTTATTCCCAGGCTAATTCATAGAATAGAAAAGTATTAGTTATCAGGTGTGAAAAGATTATTTATTTGAACTGTTTGGGATGGTCGCCACCAAGCCTGTTTCTGCTCTGTTTTAATTAGTGCTGTGTCATTTATGTGTAGATTGACTTGGAAAAGTATTTCTATTATTTGATTCTGGTAATTGTAGGATCCAGGGCAGAAGAGTGAGAAATGTCTACTATACTATATTTATTCCTATACTTATACTTTATAAAAGATATTCACTATATTGACAAACGTACTGGGACGTTGTTAAAGGAAATCTTGATGTTACAGAAAACAATTATAGACAGTAGTTCTTCCAACAGTTTGTATTTGGCCTTTTCCTGTTTCAATATGACAGCGCCCCGTCCACAAAAGCCAGCTTTATAAACAGTATCTCACAAAAGTGAGTCCACCCATCACATTTTTGTAAATATTTCATTATATCTATTCATGTGACAGCACTGAAGAAATGACACTTTGCTACAGTGTAAAGTAGTGAGTGTGCAGCTTGTACACACAACTGTTTAAATTTGCACTTTGGTGTAAACCGAGGCCACTTGTCTGTTCCCCACCAGCCAGTAACGGGCCAGGTAAACAGTTCACAGTACAGTTCACGCCCTGCTTTTTACCACAGGTAGTTGGTAAAAGAAATTTTCATAGTTTGGTTAGAGGCCTTGCTCAATTAGCCAAAAGACATCCGTGCATGACATTGCTAATGTTGCATGGCACCAGCAACCTGCTGGTAACTACTTAATTATGCTTAGGCCTATGTTAATTATAAATTAATTATGCTAATGCCTTTGATGGGCCATTAGAATTACCACCTGTTGGAATATAAACTTCATATGCAGTCCAGTACGGCCATAGTCTTATCTGCTCCGCCACACTTTCATAATGAAGCAAAAACATTCTCTTTTTACTTTTACTTGAGTAGATTTTTATACTAGTATTTATAAATACAGCCACGCTTCATACCCTGGGATCCTGAACGAGCCAGAGAAACACCCCTCCTAGATATAGTGCTGAACAGTGCCACCCCATAATGAGAACACCAGAGACTCATTGAACCCAGATCTGTTCTATTAAAACTAAAAACAGGGCACACTCGTATCTGTTCCATGTCCTTTTGTTTTTTTCCTATTTACCACATCTGCTCTCTAACAGCTTCATAAGGTGATGATGTCTTTGCCTTTTAGTCATTTCAGGCTCTTGCTTACTGGCAAAGAAATAGTTTTGAGGGAAATGTCATCATGCTCTATATTTAAACAACAGGAATCATCAGACCACAAAAAGACAAATGTGAGAATGTGGGGTTTACACATCCTTTGCTCAGCTCACAATAAAACAGTTTGTCTGTTCAGGCTTTGTTGTGTGCTGTAATGTCAGCGCAGGTACGATCTTCTAAAGGATACTACTAAACACATAATACTTTCCAACACCAACACCGTATTTGTTGTTAGTAAAAGATGTATGAACTCATGATCACACTGAAGGAAACACTGACGTGTGTTGAACATGTGTTTCTCTTGTTTAAGGAACTCCGTTACAACACAGTTCCTGTTCTAAGCATGGATAAGCTGAGGTGGGACATTATTCTGTGTACAGTGTTTCAGCCTGCGTGAAGATGAGGGCGACTATCTGCTGCTGCCTGTTGGCCTTTGTTCTGAGCTTTAATGTCACCGCAGGTAAGAACTTTTTAATTAATCAGTTAAACTTGCTCACTTTAAAATACATTTATTATTGGAAGTGAAATGTAACTAAGTACATTTACTCTGAAATTATGCACCCAACTATAAATTTGAGGAAACCTTTTACACGGAGTTTGTAAACTATGATGTTTTGTTGTAAATTAAACTACCCAACAGTTTATATTGGTAACTGAAGGCAGAATCCTCACAAACCAAACAATCAGTTATTGGTGAAAATAATCAGCATATAATGAGCTTATCAATAAACTCAGCAGGATTGAACTGGCCTTTATTTATTGCATTAATAATAATTCATGAAGAATGTGCGGTCTGTACTATGTTGTGAGGTCTTGAAGCTTGTCTCAGATGTGTTTGGTATCGCTGACTCATAATGTAAAAACACCAATTGATAAGGTCGTATTTGATGTGCAATCGCTGCATTTGACAGTTAAATGTGAACTTTTTTTTTACTTGTTTCTTTTGCAGGAATAAATCATGTAGTAGTCGAGGAGAAGAGCTTTGTCTTTCTGCCATGTCCTCACCCTGTGGAGGGTAAAGCGACGTGGAGCAGAGAGATCAACGGAAACAGAGTTGACATATTTATAATTGATGGTGAAAGAGAGATAAGAGGCAATAACACAGACAGACGATACGGTTCAGTGGGAGATAAATTTAAGTCACTTGTCATTAGCAGAGTTAATCTCTCGGACACTGGAAGATACCTGTGTAATAATGAACCAGCTGTGGAGCTGATGGTGATCAAACCAGGTAACATCAAACTTTAAGAAAGTTGTTGTGCTTCCTGTTTTCTTCCTGTTGCATGTACAGTACATTTTGTTATGGTAATATATTATTGTATATTACTAACATATATAAATTAGATGTAAATGTGTTTTTACCTTCAATAACACAACTATTGTAGAACTTATAATATTATGTTTTACTTTCGTCCTCCATTAAATTTACTTTTGTGGTGTACATTTATGTTGGGGAAATTGAACTATTGTCTTTATTGAAGTAAAATTTGCTTTTGCGCTTCACTACATTTGAACATGCTGGACAGTTGCAACTGTATGATCATTCAGTGAAGAAGAGAACTTAGTATTTCCCAATTTTTCCAATTAGAGTAATGAGAAATGTCCACTTGTGTTAGTTTCCTGTATTATTGTGAAAATTTCTGCCTCTCGTGTTTTAGTCTATTTTATTTTCTGTCTGTCTAACTGCTGATTGCCTAATGTGTCTCACCTGTGTTTAACCAGCCTGTGTGTATAAATATATATATAGTCTGTGCAAGCAAAGTCATGGCCAGGCGTTGAAGAAGTATTCAGATCCTTTACTTAAGTTAAAGTAGTTATACCACACTGAAAATACTCCTGTATAAGTCCTGTGTTCAGAACCTTAAGTTAAAAGTACAATTTCAGCCTCTGAGATGTAGAGGAGTAGAAGTATAAAGTTGATGAAAATGGAAATACCAAAAGAAAGTACAAGTACCTCAAAACTGTCCTTAAGTACAGCGCGTAAATGCACTTAGACCATGTTATTCCTCCACCTTTGGGGTAAAAACAGGTCAGTTTCTCAAAGAAAATCCATGTATTTAATGACATAAAACATATTTTTTACTTTGTGTTTGGTCATGCAGGAGAAACAGCCAGACTCACTGTTGTAGAAAGAACCAACATCACTCTGAATTGTCCCTCTGCTGTTTCTGGGTCAAGAGATCCAACATGGACCAGAGAAAACCGTGGAACAAACATCACTGTTTCCAGTCAAAACGAGATGGATAAGCACGCTCGATATTCAACCACGGAAGAGACGCTGACTATAACAGACGTGCAGCCTGATGACGCTGGACTGTACTACTGTGATGGAAAACCAGTTGTGCATCTGAATGTGACCAAAGATGAGCAGTCTGAGAAAGGTGAGAGACAAGAAGTCTTAGAGGATCCAGTATTTCCCAAAAGTGAGTACACCCCTCACATCTGCGTAAATATTTTCATGTGACAACACTGAAGAAATGAAACATGCTACAATGTAAAGTAGTGAATGTGCAGCTTGAATAACGTATATAAATTTGCTGTCCCCTCAAAATAACACATCACACAGCCATTAATGTCTAAACCGCTGAAAACAAATGACCAGTTAATTGAAATGGGAGAGAGAGCGAGCGTGAGGCTGGACAGAACTGATGTTACTCTACAGGTCTGTGATCAGTGAAGTGTACAAACTGGAGGCTCTGTTAACAGCAACTGGCAACCTCCGGGTCTGACAAGTGAAGCCAATGTAAAAGTCCCTTAAACCTGCGTCCTCTCCAGCAGCCAGCAGGGGGCGACTCCACCGGCTGCAGAAAGAAGTGTGATTGTATAGAAGTCTCTGAGAAAATGTTTCTACTTCTCAGCTGATTTATTCCCTCAGTAAACACTTTCCTGATGAGTTCATGGTCTCACTCTCTAGTTTCAGGTCTTCTTCAACACAGCATGATGTTCATTTAGTAAATTATGGTCCCGTTAAGAGGAACAGAGACCAGGAAGCAGAGTATATTTCAGGGCGGGGCTACAAGGTGATTAACTTGCTACCAAGGCCAGCTGTTAATCAGGATAGAGGCAGATTGTGTCCACTGCAGTGGACTTCTTTTAACTAGTGGGGAACTTGGGTGTTGTATGTGTTTTTGTCTAAGAACATTTTTTCTGCTAAGTAATGCATTTTTTGTTTTAAGCCTGTTAAACCAGCATCCTAGTTAATATCCCATTTACAGATGCACCTTACTAACCAGTCTGGCTCCAGGAAACGATAGACCACAAACCATGATGTCACGGTGGCCATGTCCACTTCTTTTTATACAGTTAATGTTTAACAGTGATAGACAAACAGATGCACGTTATAATATATAATATGAAGGGTCTGTATTGCTGTGGCTGCTTTGACATTCGTGTTTTAAGTTTGCTTTGGTGTAAAACTGTCTCAAATTATTTTGTTGACTTTCCAAAAAGAAATAATATATATACACACACACACACACACACACGTGTGAAATAAGTATTGAACACGTCACCATTTTTCTCAGTAAATATATTTCCAAAGGAGCTATTGACATGAATTTTTCACCAGATGTTGGTAGGAACCCAAGTAATCCATACATACAAAGAAACCAAAACAAAGAAGTTCAGAAATAAAGTTATATGTAATAATGTGCAAATTTATGGTGAAATGATTGTCTTTGCACTTCCGTATTATGGCCCCAACAGCGCTCACTGGAACATTCAGAAGCTTAGAAATGCGCCTATAACCAATGCCACCATTGTGTTTTGCAACAATTAGGTTGCAAAGGTCTTGAAACAGCTCTTTGCATTTACCCATCATGGGATGTGTGAGACCTTGGCAATGAGACCTTTTTGTAGGCCATCAGTTGGGACTGAACCAGCTGATATTAATTTGTACTGACAAGGGTCTAGATTGCTTTTTAACTGCCTTTTTGCACCTCCCTTTCTTCATGTGTTCAATACTTTTTCCCTGTGACATTATTACACATAACTTTATTTCTGAACTTCTTTGTATGTATGGATTAATTGGGTTGTTACCAACATCTGGTGAAAATTTTATGTGAATAGCTCCTTTGGAAATATATTTACTGAGAAATAGTGACGTGTTCAATGCTTATTTCAACCACTGTTTATATGTATATAGGTGTGGAAAAATGCTGTAAAGTAGGAATGCTTTCAAAAATCTTAATAGATTATATTTATCAATTACTAAAATACAATGTAAGTGAACGGAAAGAAAATCTAAATCAAATAGTAACCACCCTTTGCCTTCAAAATGAATTCTTCTACGTACACTTGCACAAAGTCAAGGATTTTGTAGGTATGTTGTCAGGTGTATCAATAAATGTACCAAATTCAGTAGGCTATGTAGGTTGAAACACAATCATTAACTGAAACAGAAACAGCTGTGTAGGAGGAATAAAACTGGGTGAGGAACAGCTGAGCTGAGCTGGTGAAGCTGCTGAAGACATTTTACTGTCAAACGCCTTATCTGCCTGTTCTGTCTGCGTTTGGGTCCAGTCCCTGTTTTTCTGCATAACCCACCGTGACACTTACGGTACAATAAGTTATCTTCTGTTTAGACCCTGAACACACCTCTCTGTCTCTCAGCCGTCTTACCCACCTTTCCTCTCTGTCTCTCAGCCGTCTTACCCACCTTTCCTCTCTGTCTCTCAGCCGTCTTACCCACCTTTCCTCTCTGTCTCTCAGCCTTCTTACCCACCTTTCCTCTCTGTCTCTCAGCCGTCTTACCCACCTTTCCTCTCTGTCTCTCAGCCGTCTTACCCACCTTTCCTCTCTGTCTCTCAGCCTTCTTACCCACCTTTCCTCTCTGTCTCTCTCCCCAGTTTACTTTGTGCCTCTGGTTGTTTGTGTGGTTCTGATTGTCCTGCTGTTGGCTGGTTTTCTGCTGCTGCTCTTCAAATGGATGAAAAACAGAAACCTCAGATCTTCAAAAAGCAGAAATGTGGAGGTAACTCTTTTTTACTCTTGCTGTCTCTGACTGTTAACCTCGATGTCTATGATGTCTCCTAATATACTGTAGATGCTCAGGAAAATAAAATGACATGTTAGATAAATGCTGCATAAATAAATTTGTGACTAGCGGGCAGAAACAGAATGAGAACTGGAAACAGTGCCGCCATTAGAACAGGGATCTTTAACTATGTTAAATATGTGTTATTTTCAGTTATCTGTCGCCTCCAAGAACAGGACTCCAGTCTCCACGGGTGAAGACTCCACTTACCAGAGCCTCGATCCTGCCAGCAGGGACCAGGACCAGATCTACTCCTCACTCACTTAACCTTACATAACTCCCAGAAAACCACAAATGGTTGAATCCTCACACAAACACAAGCTAAGATCGTTTAGAAAGTGCAAGGAAACGATTAACTATTTAGATGTACATTTATACATACGATTTAGTCATGTACTAATAGTGAGTGTATAAATAAATATGTACAAACATTTATTGATATTTTTAATTAATGTTTAGAGGTGCAGAAGGTTTTGCATTGTATGTTCAATTGTTACTGACTGCAGCCTCATTGAGCACATTGTGAAAGAATGAATGAATGAATTATTGTGTCATGCGTATCATTACGTTCAGCCCGCATGAGCTTATAAGACACCAACATTAATATAGAGGGGAAAAAAAGACATCATATACAGCTCTAACCAATTAGAAACAAAGATTAGAAGCGGAATAATAATAAATAGTACATATATATTCAGATACTTGCATGTATGTGTTCATAAACAGATGCATTCACCTTTACTCAGATAACCACTCACATAAACCCATAACCCTACACAGAACAAAATTAAATCTAGTTAAACAAACTAATTTTTGATCGTAAGCATACCAAAATATTTCAGAGATTTGCCGCGTAACATCCAGAAACAAAGATTCTCTGTGATCATCATAATGTGTACAAGAGGAAATGAGATTGGTTTGGTGCAGTTCAGTTTGTAATATAGTTTAACCTAAGAAGTTATTGTGTCTGATATTTAATTTGGCCTAAACACTGTAAAGCGCCTATGAAGACGAAAGCTGATGAAGCTGATGTTTCTCCTCTCTACCAGTAGATGGCAGCATGAGTGTATTTAAATGTATCCCTGGTTTGTGTCTGTTAATTCGTTTAAATACAGGTTATTGCTAAAGATTTATTTCATGCTGTTAATTGCATTTAGTATTCATTGTTTGTGGGTTATTTGCAACCTAGTTAAATACATAGCTATATGGAAAATTTGCATCTGACGAGAAATCAGAAAGAGCTTTATTGCCAAGTAGGTTTACACATACAAGGAATTAGCTTTGGTATTTTGGTGCATAACAATAAAGAAGGTAAGAAAGTAAACTGCTACAGATCAAGAATCAAACATATAAAATTGACAAGATATAAAAGAATCATAAATGATCAAGAATATGTACTTGTTATGTACATAAACATTTGATCATGTGGCAGTAAATAACCTCCCCGTCATGGCACCACCTGTGTTACACTGCACCTTCATCACTGTATCATCATCTTCATCGTTCACCCTCAGCTCAGAATCAAACCTGCATGCACTTCTGTTCTGACCTTTAGCAGCTCTGACCACAAACTCACATCAGGAATGTCATACTGTGTGAACACGACGGCACCCATAACCAAATTCATCCTAATCTGCTATTTGCTGGACTGTGTATTTAAATACAGGAAATAGCAGTGTGTGTGTGTGTGTGTGTGTGTGTGTGTGTGTGTGTGTGTGTGTGTGTGAGAGAGAGAGAGAGAGAGAGAGATCTGAGTTCCTCCAGCTGCAGTTCTGCTTTCTCTGTCTCTGCAGGAAAGACTTGAACCGTCTGGGATGGATCTGTTCGCCTTTACGTTGCTTCTCTTTCTGCTCGCTTTTATCGGTAAGAAGAGATAAATATTTCAGTGTAATTTCTTTAGAGATTAGATTGATTTGAGATGCTTTTATTTACGGGTTTATTTCTAGAAAACAGGAACCTGTAGCTTTCTGTTGTGTTGCCTGTTTGAATTCATGGTCATAATGCTGAATGACACATTTTCTAAGAACCAGAGCAAACCAAACAGAAACTTCCACCTATTGTACTTATTTTACCAGATTAATACATAGGCTACTAAATGCACCACAGGACTGACTACTTCACCTGACTTGTCCCTCATGTTTCTCCCCCCCCCCCCCGCATGCTGTGCGGGTCCATCCGGCCTCCGGGTCTCAATTTTGGGGAGAAATGTTACGTTGGTTTTTATTATCTGCAATTTCAACAACAAGACTAAACACGTTGAGGTTACAACCCTAAGTAAAGGAGGGTTGAAAGTGAACGCATCGTACCGATACTTGGCTCTAGCATCCCTGATGTCAGGTGACAGCTGGGATTATAGCTTCAACATAATATCAATAGACGTTTTGCAAATCGGAATTATTCATCTCCAAGTTCTTGGTAAGTTATTTTTGCCTAATTAAACCATCACTAATACAATTTAGAAAATAGTTCATAGTTTTATTTATACTGTAGGCCAAGGTTATTTTGACATTCAACCCCAAAACCGTGCTCAAAATGAAAATAACCTATAGAAAACATAACTTTCATTTACAATGTGAGTTCAATAGTTTAGTAATATGCAAAAAGATTAACGTGGCATTCCTCCATAAAGGCCTTTAAGCTACTTGTTAGTTTTTCAATACTCATCTGTTTGTTATTTAGATATATGATTATGTGCTCAGCAAGAAGCTTTCAGCTTTTGTAACATTACATTAAATGTGAAAAAAAAATACAGATTTACATTGCAAATTTAATAGGCTACCACTACTTCCTGTAGAAAAAATGGCCCATTTCCAAACCGTTCATCAGTCACACAAGCCTGCCTTGATTAAACCTGAAATGGGAAACTCCGAGTTTTCAGTTCCACAACAGCTGATCAGAATTAGTTCATCAAAGTATGTTGAACCTCATTAAAGCGTGTGCCTGGGAAATGAAAAAGGCCAATACTACGATTCATCATGGCAATGGGTAAAGAAAGAGCGGAGTGCATAAAACGGGAGTGGAGGAAGGAGTTAGGTGGAGTTAGGAGTTATAAGTTAACACTTTTACATTTTATTCAGTGAGTTTAGCTAATTTGAATTTCCTTAATGAATGATAAAGTGCTGGAATCCTTTACTGTGGGTTACTTTTAAAATATGTTTATTCAGCTGTAACCTGACAGGACAAAACGCTGGTGGCAATAACTGAAGCTGAAAATATGGATCAAAAATATGGATCAAACAGATAAGACACAGTTTACTTATGGACCTGTGATTGGCAGTTCAAACTGACATGTAGTTTTTTCAGCTGCACGATGAATGATTGTTCATTGACAGCTTAAAACAGGTGAGTATGATTTAAACAGGGATTAATGCAGTAGTGTAGCCCACACTAAACGTTTCTGTGCAACCTGACAGCTGCCTAAATGTTCACAGAGTCACAGTGTTATACAGAAGTGCAGCCTAAAGATTGTATTCTGAGCTGAGGATGAATCAACAACATCTACAATAACTGTCTCTGTTCTTACATCGATGGCAGATTGATCATAAAAGCGGTCACGTTAAAGATCATGTTTGGGCAATAAACGAATATCTAACTTCTGCAAATGAAAGCGTTCAATGTGTGTTTTGACATCGGCAGTGTGAATGAGGAAACAACAGTGTGTCAGACTGCTGCTTCAGGCTCCACAGGAGGGGAGGAGTCATAGAGAAACAGAGAGTTTGTTGATGAACCCCTGATTTAGAGTTTAAGTTAACTTGCCGTCTAAAACAGGAAATTCCCATAGCAAAGCTCAGGGAAGCAGCTCTGTGCTTTAATGGAGGTGGGGTGGTGAACCAGATGTAGATGTAGTTAGACTCAAACTAACCACTTAGTCAATAATTCAGATAAAGCATAAATCTCACCTTTTGTGTTGCTAGTTGAAGCAGGTTTGAGTGTGGGATTATGTTGTTGCCCTTGTGGCCACCGGGAGAAAAACGGCCGCTAATTGCAGTTCTCTACCCTACGCAGTATCTCACAAAAGTGTATAGGGTACACCCCTCACATTTATGTAAACCTTTGATTTTATCTTTTCATGTGACGACACTGAAGAAATGACACTTTGCTACAGTGTAAAGTAGTGAGTGTTCAGCTTGTATAACAGTGTAAATTTGCTGTCCCCTCAAAATAACACATCACACAGCCGTTAATGTCTAAACCGCTGGCAACTAAAGTGAGGACACCACTTAGTGAAAATGTCCAAATTGGACCCAAAGTGTCAATATTTTGTGTGGCCACCATTATTTTCCAGCGCTGCCTTAACCCTCTTGGGCCTGGAGTTCAGCAGAGCTTCACAGGTTGCCACTGGAGTCCTCTTCCACTCCTCCATGACGACATCACGGATCTGGTGGATGTTAGAGACCGTGCGCTCCTCCACCTTCCTGTCCTGCAGCCCAGTCTTTGAAGGGAGGGGATCCTGCTCTGCTTCAGTATGTCACAGTACATGTTGGCATTCATGGTTCCCTCAATGAACTGTAGCTCCCCAGTGCCGGCAGAACCCATGCAGCCCCAGACCAGGACACTCCTACCACCATGCTGGACTGTAGGCAAGACACACTTGTCTTTGAACTCCTCACCTGGTTGCCGCCACACACACTCGACACCATGTCAACCGAATACGTTTATGTGGGTCTCATCAGACCACAGGACCTGGTTCCAGTAATCCACGTCCTCAGTCAGCTTGTCTTCAGCAAACTGTTTGCGGGCTTTCTTGTGCATCATCTTTAGAAGAGGCTTCCTTCTGGGACGACAGCCATGCAGACCAGTTTGATGCAGTGTGCGGCGTACGGTCTGAGCCCTGACAGGCTGCCCCCCCACCCCTTCGACCTCTGCAGCAATGCTGGCAGCACTCATACGTCTATTTCCCAAAGACAACCTCTGGATATGACGCTGAGCACGTGCACTCAACTTCTGTGGTCGACCATGGCGAAGCCTGTTCTGAGTGGAACCTGTCCTGGTGAACCGCTGTATGGTCTTGGCCACCGTGCTGCAGCTCAGTTTCAGGGTCTTGGCAGTCTTCTTACAGCCTCGACCATCTTTATGTAGAGCAACCGTTCTTTTTTTCCAGATCCTCAGAGAGTTCTTTGCCAAGAGGTGCCATGTTGAACTTCCAGTGACCAGTCTGAGGGAGTGTGAGAGCGATAACACCAAATTTAACACACCTGCTCCCCATTCACACCTGAGACCTTGGAACAGTAACGAGTCACATGACACCAGGGAGGGAAAATGGTTAATTTTGCCCAGTTTTGACATTTTCACTTAGGGGTGTCCTCACTTTTGTCACCAGCGGTTTAGACATTAATGGCTGTGTGATGTGTTATTTTGAGGGGACAACAAATTTACACTGTTATACAAGCTGCACACTCACTACTTTACATTGTAGCAAAGTGTCATTTCTTCAGCGTTGTCACATGAAAAGATATAATCAGATATTTACTCACTTTTGGGAGATACTGTACTTTCAAGAGAGCCCACTTAGTAAATTGGTGGTTTTCATGTGCAAAGGAGGTTAAAGC